TTACTCTTTACTCTTTACTCTTTACTCTTTACTCTTTACTCTTTACTCGGGAGAAGATGACATCTGCAGCGCCAATCACCCATCAACTTACTGACCTTTCCCAACAGGTCTTAACTTACCTAATCTACCGATTAGCGGTACTCCCCCTGGGCTACTGCTTCTTTGCCCCTGAGAAAATAAAGAAATTTGAAGAGTTTTAACCTGTTGTTTAAAAATGACATTTGCACCAAATTGAGATTTTCAAACCGGATTATCGAAATATAATAACGTTTGGGGGCAAAATATTATTTCTTAATACTACTTTTTTAAATGAAAAAAAAACGAAATTTGAAGAAATATGAAGTTCAACTTTTAAACCTTGTTACAGTACAAAAGTCGCCCGTACCAAAATTTATTACTGCAACCTTGAGTTGTTCATATTATCATTCGTAATTTTTATCAATGTTAAGGTTGGTGTTTCTGTACATAACCACTGAATTTGGACAAGAGTTTGCAGATCATGCCTGAGTTTATTGACGATACCTCGAGGAAGGTCGAGCACCACAAGCCTTTTTACAGCGAGGGAAATACAGTAAAAACAAAACTAAGACAGAGGAATAAAAGAGGTGGAGACTGCGAGTTATTTTCCTGGTTGGCTAAAGTAGAAAAGATTACGGCTTTTGAATAGAAAGTTAAGTCAAATTTTTACAGCGGCAAATCTGCAACGTCTTCCCTAAGACAACAAGTCGACGGGAAACAGAAGTTTATGGCTTCCTGAATATTCCGCACTCAGTAACGTTATTGCAAGGCGACGGCAATCCTACCCAGTCAAGGAAGAGATGAGGTAGGCACAAAAGGAGAGATTTACATTGCTCCAGAATAAATATTTTTATTAATACGAGTTGGTTTCGTTTCTCTCCTTCGTGATTGACTTGATTTATTTTTCACGTATCGCATTCACTTGTTTGAATTATTACTGTTTAGGTAAACAGTTAATGGCCTCCAAATCACAGTTGTGAACGGCTTTAGAGATGGTGGAGGTTTATGGACAAACTCATCATGACTGTCATTTCTGTAGATTTGAACATTATCGGTGGTTTTAACTTGTTTTGTTTACTTTCCGTTTCATCTTTTTTTCAGACCAAACGATACTTTGCATAATTATGCTACTACTTTTGTCAAGGTGCATTGTTGCATCATCATTTTATACGGTATGTGTTATGCCGTAATTATGGTGATTGTATTCGGGGTGTAAGTGTTTCTTTTTTGACAAAAGGAATCCTGCAATGTGATAACGAACTTTGAACTGGATCGTTATTAAAAAGTTTGGAATTTTCGGTCCTCCGGCCTGCTAGCGGAAAGCGTTATCTTTTACGGCATTTTTATTGTTACATTTTTAATAAGATAACGCTGTGGTTTCGAATTATCTCTCGCTCTTTCTAAAGCCCTGGAAACTTTTCGGGTCTGAAAGCCATTTTTAGTTAATTTGTGTCTAAAAACAGAAAGGTGTATACGCCTGAAACTTCTTGTATGAAGGGAACTTCTGGCCATATTAAGAATATGTAATTAAAACAACTCTGTAATCATAAGGTTTGAGATTTTGCTACGACTTTCCGGGTGCGGAAACTTTTCGGGACCTTCAAGAAACGGGCCCCTGCGATCATTTGTGGTCCCGAGAATATTTGCGGGCCTGCATAGAGCAGTTTAAGATTTTAACTCGAAAAATATCACAACAAAGGAATGAAAGTACAAGAAATGTAAAATTTTGAAAATCCAGAATCTCACTAAAACAGCAATTTAAGTTTTTTTCAAAAAAACAACAACAACAACACGAATGTCATTGAGACCCATTGAAAGCAAGGTTGCCAGAAAAACCTCAAGTCACATGACCGTCAATAAATCAGAGTAACAGTCAAGTGTGTTCGACTTATTGATTTGCAGGAAGTCGCGATAGAGTGATATTTTTTTGGCCGGACAAAAACAAATTACATCATCGCAAAGCATGTGTATACAAGATGATTTGCTTTTCAGATCGTTCGCGATCGCTTGTTTGTCGTTTTGATTCTGGACCGTAAGTGGCCTCTTTTGTCAGGATGCGATACGACATGGGCTTTTGTTACATGACTGGAACGACAATTATTTTTTATGTTCACGAACTCGACTTTGAATAGCCTTGGCTTTGGGATGTTAACCGTTAGAACAGCTATATTTCATTGGCTATATTTTGATTACATTAAACATATTTTGTTGACCTACATTAAGTAGTTCTAGAGGCTACAAAATAGTTCAGTATCCAGCGAAGCTCAAAATTGAATCGATGGAAGAGTACTCTGAAGCCAAGATCTATAAGAGTAATCCAGAACTAAGGAACAGCAATGTAAATACTGACTATTTCTATTTGTCAGCGGAAATATTCGAATCAGTTGCCAGTAGACCATTTTACAGTTGTCTGCTCAGTGACCTG